TACTGTTCCTTTCTTGTTCTCTTTTTTTGTAGTTTGACAATTTTCTTTAGTGAAATGCTTGAATTCCTTTATCCTTATTTTTTTGCATATCTATTATAGACTTTTGGTTTGTGGTTACCATTAGATTTATATGTAATATCCTATTCATATAGCAGTCTATATTAAGCTCATTAGCCACCTACCTTTTTAAATCTATTTTTAGCGTGATGGCTCAGTGGTGGAATTTGAAGCATGGGCCTAAGTTGAAATCATTGCCACATGATTGCTATGTGAACTTGGGCAAGTGACCTAACTCTTCTGAACCCTAACCTCAGAAATGGGGATAAAAACAGTATCTACCTCATAGGCTTACTTTGAAATTGAATGGGGCAATTATGTAAATCACTAAGATAGCACATGGCTCTGCCTTAGTTTAGGCATTTGTTTTTCCCACCCAGATAAATGTAATTGCCCACTAACTCACTGATTTCTTTGCTTCCTCTGGTCTTGCTCACCTCCACTGATTCTTATTTTTACCAAAATTTTCTTTCTAAAGTGTAGCTCTGATCACATCATTCTAGTGGTTAGGACCCTCAAATATCTATTTATTGCCTAAAGGATAAAGGCCAAACTTATCAGCTTCAGGTACCTCAACAAAGCTAAACTATAAATAAATATCTGTTGAATACAAATTCGCTTATTTACCTGTGATCCACCATTGACGTAGGCTGGCTAATGCATGTAGGAGGAGCTGTGGCTGTCCACTAAGGTTTTGAGCAGGACTGGACACTGCACAACTCCAGGGGCCGCTTTTCACATTATATTCTGTTGAATGGCACCACTGGAATCCAGCAATGTTCTCTGGAGTCGAGCAGTGCAGTGGCTGGAAGAATCTTGGATTCTTGTGTAATCTCTTCTTGGGCAAGTCCCTTAATGACTTTGAGCCTTAATTGTCAAATGGAGGTAGCAAGGCCTATACTGCCGTCCTTTACGCTTGTGGGGAGGCTTATGAATGTGAAACGACATATATATTGAGAAGTGATGTCTCTCCCAAATTCTCTTGCTATTATTGTCATCAGCAGTGACTATAGCAGTAAAGACTAAAAAAGAACCTTATCGCCCACAGTTAGTTTCTAAGATAAAAGCCCCATTATGTGCAGTGGGTGTGTGATAGGCCCAAGCATATTATTTATTTATGATTTAAACTACCTTGTTTTTCTTATTTCAACAGCAGTACTCATAATAGCAGAAAATAATAGTCTAGCAAAAAAGAAAATAAAAACATCCATAATCCCACCCACACAGGAGCAACCATTATTAATTCCTTGATATATTTTCTTCTAGAGTCTTTCCCAGGCAAATGTGGTGTAAGTACCATTTTATAGCCTGCTTTTTCCCCCTCACTTAATGTACCACAAACCTCTTTTTGTATTAACAAATACACTTTCATGGTGTGATTATTAATGTATGTATATTATTCTGATGTGAGGCCACACTGTAATTTATTTAACTAACACACTGTTGCTGGCATTTAGGCTAATTCTCACTTTTTCCTGTTAAAAATGGGCTGCAAGGAACATCCTTGTAGCTAAATCTGTGTGCAGTTCCATGCTTATTTCCTCAGGTTAAATCACAGAAGTGGAATTACAGGGTCAAAGAGTAGGCATATTTTTTTTAAAAAGGCTTTTGCAAAGAACTGTCAGTTACCTCTAGTAAGATTGTATGCTCAATTGGATTTTGAAGGTCATTTTTGTCTAATAGTGGAGCGTGCAAAATAAATAAACTTTGAACTTTCAAATGGAATTAGTCTCTGCTGGGTTGTAACATGGGTTTAGTAGGAAATATGAGGATGGTATTAAGTGATAGAGTGATAGGAAAGCCCTGTTAATAGGTTCTAGGCTACTTTCTTTTCTTTACATCTTTTTTAAAATGCTTATTTATTTATTTTGAGAGAAAGTGGGAAGGAGGGAGGAAGGGGGAGAGAGAGAGAGCGCGCACGCGAGAGAGCGAGCGAGCGCAGGGGAGGGGCAGAGAGAGGGAGAGAGAGAATCCCAAGCAAGCACAGAGACTGATGTTAGACTCAAACTCACACACTGTGAAATCTTGACCAGAGCTGAAATCTAGAGTTGGGTGCTTAACAGACTGAGCCACCCAGACGACCCTAGATCTTCTTATTCTTCTTCTTTTAAAATTTATTTAATTATTTTGAGAGAGACAGAGACAGCATGAGTGGAGGAAGAGCAGAGAGAGAGGGAGAGAGAGAGAGAATCTCAAGAACGCTCCACACTGTGAGTGCAGACCCCAACATGGGCTCAAGGTCACAAATCTGTGAGATCATGACCTGAGCTGAAGCCAAGAGTCGAAAGCTTAACTGACTAAACCACCCAGGTGCCCCTAGATCTTAGTTGTTAAAAATTGGGGTATAATTTTTATATAATATAGTATAATTGAGTTTGGTAGAGATGGCTAGAGGTTACACATACATGATTTTCTTCTCCTTCCAAGCATATGCAAGATGACTTTCTCCAATTTTTGTAGTAGTTAGGTTTGGTGACTGAGTCTAGCCAGTGGGCTATGAGCAGAATGATATGGGTCACTTTTGGAGTGAAGGACTTAATTGCCAGTAGGAGACTCCCACCTCTCCTCAGCTCACCCCCAGAGCGCTCTCTTTTCCATGTTGATTGAGGAGTCCCTGTGTTACTAATTGTACACTACAAGATGGTGGGGCTCTTCAACCTGGGTCTGTGCGCATCTTCTTAGGACAATTGCCCTAGAGTTGTAACCTATGTTACATTGTACAGTGGGCTTTGTGTGAGTGAGAAACAACCTTATGCTGAATCGCTAAGATTTGAGGGGTTATTTTTTCAACTGAAGCATAATCTAATTCATTCCAGCTAGTACAGTACATAATTTGGTTCCAGAGCTAAGTTACTAGTCACTTTGCAAACGCTTCTTAGAGTGTCTTTTTTGTGCGGGGCACTGTGGAGGATAGAAGAAAGATAAACTTAATCTCTGTTTGAGAAATCTATACAATTTATGGTTCATCTCTATTCGTTGAATAATGTGTATCTATTGAATGTTACAGATCTCCAGATGCAGTGTATACTCTTTAAAGGGACTTTGTTCATAACAAGCTGGTTCACAAATTAATAAAAGGTGGAACGAACAGCTGCTGTTCTAGCTCTGTCCAGTGCAGTGCAGCCTTCTTCCTCTGGAAGACTTCTGTCCTGCCCCACATGGTTCTAATGGGGTAGACAATTATAGCCTCCACTTCCCCAGCCACTGGAAAAGGCATATAACCTACCTGGAGTGTTTTGAGTTGATGGTGGAAGTGGTAGCTCTGTCCTGTCCCCTGTGTCATAAGCTGTAGGAATTGATCCCTGAGGAGCCTGAGACCATGAGGACAACTCATAGACCAAAGCCAAGATGAAATCAAGAATGTTGAACAGAGAGTGATTCTAATGCTGTTTCAGCTCTGGATCCTGACTAGCTGGAGGCCAGTAACACCTGTGTGCCTTCAGATGGGTCAGCCAAGACCTCCCCTTTCTTTTTTTTTCTTTTTTTTTTTTTGTTTAAACTAATTTCAGCTGGTTTCTGTCTCATCCAGTAGAATTCTCATTAATTTAACAAATATTGTATTTGTTGACAAAAACCAACCGCATGCTGATAACTACCAACATTTATTAAAAGCTTTACATATATAATCTCATTTAATCCTGATAGCAATCCCAAGAAATTGATATACTTATTAATGTCATTCCCACTTTACAGAGGAAGAGAATAAAGCTGGCCAAGACAGATCACTTGCCCAAGGTCACACAGTTTGTAAGTGTTAGGACAAGAATGAAACCCAGGCAGCCCAGCTCCCAAGCTCGCAAGCTTAGCACTACTCCATGAGCATGAGTTGTTTTTTTTTAATGTTTATTTATTTTTGAGAGAGACAGAATGTGACCCAAGAGGGGGAGAGAGGGAGACACAGAATCTGAAGTAGGCTCCAGGATCCAAGCTTTCAGCACAGAGCCTGATGTGGGGCTTGAACCCACGAACCATGAGATCATGACCTGAGCTGAAGTCGAACGCTTAACCAACTGAGCCACCCAGGCACCCCTGTGAGTCTGAGTTTTAATTTCAAGGTTTATAGGAAATGTTTTCTATTTTTTCCTTCTCTGACATTATTATCTTCAAAGGGTGACAAAATAATTTGTGGCTGGTTTGTAGAAGTATGTATAATTCCTTTTGTGGAAGAGAAATACAAATCCTTATATATATATATATATATATATATATATATATATATATTTCAGTTATATATATATAAAAATATATATATTTCAGTTTTATATATATAAATATATATTATATATTTCAGTTATATATATATAAAAATATATATATTTCAGTTTTATATATATATAAATATATATTATATATTTCAGTTTTAAAGAATCTAGGAAAAACATTTGATTACTTGGTGTAATTCCAGAATCTTTGTTTAGAGGTACTTGAGTTTGGGAAGGTGAGAGATTGTGATAATGACAGTCTTCGATGAATGAATTAATGTTTTCAGCTGAATAAAACCCTCATTTATTTCTGCTGTATTATCCCACATTACCCATGATTTTTATTTTATTACTTTAATGCCTTCTGAATGTCAGGCCAGCTTGGAGAAACCCATGGGTCTTTCTGGTGAACTGGCCACAGGGTGAGAGCGGCAGTTGCTGAGTGGTTTTTAAGACTTTGTTGCAGTAGATGAAGGCGGCTGTCTGCACTCTCCAGTCAAGCATGAAGCAGAAGGGAGGCTGTGGGAGGCAGCCACTCTCACAGGCACTGGCGGCATGGGGGCTGAGGCTGCAAGCATGGTTGTCATTATGCTAATGGCATCTGTGGAGCCAGAGCTAGTGACCCTTTGAGGGAAGCAAGAACTCTTGAAGGTCCATTTGAAGTCTTTGTGCTATCAGTTTGAAGGCTTGTGACACCTGTAGCTGGCATCTACTAATTGATTTTATTTTATGCTCGTGTAGTGAGCATTGCTCCATTAAGGTGCAAAGACCTTGCAGACCTAACAGAAGTTTAAGGAGAGCCAGTGCATTGGAGGTGGCAGTCAAGTGCAAAGACTCGGACTGCGGACTCTGAGACACCCTGCCTGTGTGAGTTCAGGCAGGAGACTTGACCTCTTTGCTTCCCTTCCCTTATCTCCAAAGTAAGGGTGATCATAGTACTGGCCTCCCCCCACCCACAACCAAGGAGGATTCTTCAAAGTATAAAATGAATTAGTACGTGTAATACACTTAGTTCACACTGTATACTTATGCTCCCTAAACAGTAGGGAGAAATCTTCAGAGGGGACTGGTGTTTGCATAGAAAACGGAGCAGTCCTGAGTGAGGCTTGAGTAAGCTCTTAGCAGCCAGGTGACCTTGGACAAGTCACATGTTCTTTCTCCCTCAAAGGCAATGTGGTCACCTGAGAAAGCCTGTTAAGAGATGTCTGGCATATCAGATGTGATTAGTAAATAGTGCTTTTCTTTCTTTCTGGGACTCAGTTTCCCTATCTGTAAAGCAAAGGCATTTGAAGTCTTTTATACTTTAACTGTTTAAGAATTTCAATCTACTTTCAGAGGTCCTGATTAAAAAGGGTCCCCTTTTTGGGACTGGCTAGATGAACCGAAACATCAAGGTAGAGTAGGGTTCCGTCAGGATTAAGGATCACCACCCAGGAGAGTTGCTATCCACTGTCACCCAAGCTATAGAGCAGGGTACTGAGGAATGGGCACAAGGAAGGCACTGGGAGTGCCACATTGCCACTAATTAGTTGTGGGGTCTTCTGTCTCCCAGTCTTCAACTTCCCCCAGTGGAAGAAAACAAGAGGGTTTCTTTTGAGGAGTCTGAGAAGTGGAGGGTGCTAAGGCACTGAGGCGGAGCAGTCTAGCAAATTCAGGAGAAGATGGGGGTTAGCGATGGAGGAGTGCCCCACACCTCACACAAGCTTCATCTATCTCATAGCCCTCTGTGGTGCAAGTTCTGTCATCCCAGTTCGACACAAGAGGAAAGTGAGAGACAGACTCAGGGCCTGTAAGGTCCTACAGTGAGTCAGCAGCAGAATAGGGTCTTAAATCTGGGTCTTCTGACTCCCAGCCCAGGAATCTTTCTCCAAAAGACTGGGTTAAGTGCCAGGGTAGCTGGATACTGATATCAGTCCTGTCCAAAATGGAGTCTTGTAAGCTGGGGACAATACGCTGGTCTCTCCAAGCCTCTGTTTTCTCATCTGTGAAATGGGCATTTTCATGAGAGTGCCTCTAAGGTCCTTTCCACGTCTGAAGTCCTAGAAACCTCCATCTGCCCATCAGACTCACCTCTGTTGCTTTCCAAAGAACAATGTTGAACTTGACAAAGACTCTCCATCAGGCCCCGTGTACTTCCCACTTTCTTGACAACAGTGTGTGAAAATTGCTTTTATTGTCGGTTAGGGAAGTTGATAATAAAAGCCAACTCCTTGGGTGCCCTAATTCCACTTTAGGAAGAATGAACATATTGTTTTAATTAATCATATGAAAGCAAAATTAGCATGATTGTGTGAAAGGTGTTGTAAATCATCCTGATCCACATCATTGAGCAAAGAGCATTTAGTTATTCTGGAGTTGTTAAAGATTTTATCTACCCAAGTGAAAATTCAATTAGTACTAGCTCCGGCTTATATAAAACTAAGGATTTTCAACTATGGGAAAATACTCTTTGTGTGTGTGAATACCACCTTATGCCACTTTGATAAATTACTGTAATTAACTGTATCCTACGCAAGCTAAACAAAATTTACTGAACTGTTGTTGTATAAAAGGGATATCTTCTCTTCCCTTGTTTGGGAGATTACTCTAATCTGTACATGATATTGCCTCAAATATCATGCTTTTTATGCTGAGGTTTGAAAATATCTACAGAATTCTGGCTGGCACCAGTAAGACGCAGTTCGTTTTCATCACAATCTACCTTTTCCCCTCGGGGTATAGAGGCATCAGCTATGGGCTTCACTATGATTCAATTAAATGTGCTATGTTTAATTAGCTAGCTGGGGAAACACTGTGAGCAGAACCAACTTGGAACGTCCTGATAACTTAGCCAAAGGGCTGAGTTATTTTGGGAAGGGAAGAGGATGATGGAACAGGCAAGGAATGGAAGGCAAGGAAACTTCTGATCATAGCTCTCTGGCACACACACTCTGCTTCAACTGCAGGTCCCTCCTCTTCCTGCACACGGGGCTCTGCCCTGTCTCTCACACCTAAATCTTACCTGTACATCCAGGTTCCCCTCTTCTTCCTTTCAGAAGCTCCCCAAAGATATTTGCATGTATATATTTACTTGCAAATGTTTGCTGGGCTTGCCACATTCTCTCCCCTGATTTATCAACACATCTTTTTTATGGGTTCTTTGACCTTTTCTCCTTCTTCACCCTCCATGGGGTCTCATTCTCAATAAGAGAACACCACAGAAACTGACAGAATTTTTGCTGGAATGGTCCAGTTTCAACCTGAACTTCATCATATCAACTGTCCAAGTGACAACTCAGTGGGCAAAGCTCTGGGAACAAGGTCATTCCACCAGAATTGGTCTAGTGTATTGTGGTTTTGGAAAGATTTTTCAAGTAATTTTTAGCAGCATTTTGGCTGCTATAATTGGCTAAGGCTTACTGAATGCATGCAAGCCTATTGCAAAGAGCTTTGTATGAATTATTTTACCTATAAGATGGAATTATTATTCCCAGTTTACAAAAACTAAGGCTTAGAGAGGTAAATAAGCTTTCTTAGGGGCACATGGCCAGAAAAAGTTAGAACAGAACTCAGGGAACACACTTATGTTTACAAGCTTATTAAGGAACATGATAAAGGGTCCAGATACAGATATACATAGGGTGATTTGTGAGAGGGTCTTGAGTGCAAGAATTTCTTTCCCATGAAGTTGCAGCATATCACCCTCCCAGTGTAGATGTATTTGCCAATGTGAACCTCTCTGAACCTCATCCTTTTGGGATTTTGTGGAAATTTCCTCATGTAGGCACAATTGATTACTAAATCCATTTCTGGCTCCTCTCTTCTGGAGAATGAGCGGAAGGGGGTATTGAAAATCCCAAGCTTCTTTAAAAAAATTTTTTTTTAAATGTTCATTTTATTTTTGAGAGAGAGAAACTACAGACAGAGTGTGAGCTGGGGAGAGGCAGAGAGAGAGGGAGAGAGCTGTCAGCACAGAGCCTGACATGGGGCTCAAACTCATAAACCGTGAGATCATGACCTGAGCCTGAGCTTAACTGACTGAGCCACCCAGGTGCCCCCAAATTGCAAGGTTCTAATCATCGCTCACTCTGTGGTGGCCAGCCCCCATGCAAGAGCTCACTCAGAGTAGCCTCATTAGAAAAAGGATGCTTTTAGTAATCTTGTCACTTAGGAAGTAAGGTTTTGGGTAGCTCTGCATCAGAAACTGGGAACAGTGACCAATAGAGCTATCTTTCTATGATCTCACAATGCAATTAATAAAGTGCCCTAGAGCCATTCAAAATTGTCCTGATACTATAGTAAAACATTTCACACTAGAATGATGCTTATAAACCTTCATTGTGTGTTGATATCCCTATGTCATTATAATACAAACCCATTAGTAATTACTACTGATTATTACAAATTATTACTACTTTATAGATGAGGAAACTGAGGCCCAGAGAAGTTAAATGCCATCTATGGAGTTCCATCACAGATCAGCATGTGGAAAAGGAATGAAGATGAAAGTCTCCACTAAGCCTTTGCTTTCTTTGCTAATTTCCCGTGTTGTTTCTCCAAATGAATCTTTTGATACTTTATTGGTCTCTGTCCAGAGGTTTATACTTCCATACTATGCAGTGTCCTTCTGTAGCCAACTGGTGAGTTGAGGAGATTGTAAGAGGGCAGGGCAGACAAGAGAGTATGTAAACCAGCTTCATTGAAACTACGGAAATGCTTACCTGGTTGTTCTTTAAAAGAGCCAATGGGCGGTATCAAGCTGGAAACCCAGTAGGGTTTCTGATTGGTCAATAGATTACAGCACAGCCTTGAGGGGTAGCCATGAGGGAAGAGATTTTAAACAGAAAGAAAGTCCAGGCAGAACCGAAGGACAAGAGGAGGTTGCTCTGCCAGTTTTGCAGCAGAACAAAATTAGTTTAGGAAAGGCCGGGAGTTTGAGCTCCTGGGGGTGGGAAAGGATTTTGAGTTTGGTGTGTCCACTCATGCCCTGTGCTTGCTGAGTCACCACCAAATGACTACCAAACTTCTGCCCCAGTGGCTCCAGGATCAGGCAGCCACTGCCTCTGGAAGCAGTTTATTCCAACAGCCATTCACTTCATCGACAAATATTAATTAAGCACAAGTAGCAACTGAACACTGCCAGGCACTGGACTAGATGCTGGGTGCACTGAGCTGACTGACATTGACTCAATCCCTCCTCTGGTGACACCAACAGCCTAGTGGGGATTTTAGGTGCTCAACAATTCAGTGCATGGGTAAAAAAGTATAATTTACAGTGCCTGCTATGGGTTGAATTGTCTTCCCCCAAATTCATGCCTTGAAGTTCTAACCAACTCCCCCCACCCCCAGTACCACGGAATGTGACCTTATTTGGACACAGAGTATTTACAGAGGTAATCAAGCTAAAGTGAGCTCATTAGGGCAGGCCCTCATCCAATATGACTGATGTTCTTATAGAAAGGGGAAATTTGGACACAGCGACAGCGACAGGCATAGAAGGAAAAGGATGTGAAGAGACACCGGGAGAAGATGGTCATCTGTAAGCCAAGGAGAGAGACTGTAAGCCATCTTTCCCTCACAGCCTCCAGAAGGAACCAACACTTCTGGCACCTTGGTCTCAGACTTGTAGCCTCCAGAGGTGGCTGTGCTTGTGAGGTGATGTGCTTGTGTTGTGAAGGCTCCCCAATTTGTGCTACCTTGTTGTGGTAGCCCTGGCCGATGAATATAATGTCACATAAGACAAATGTACTGTGAGAGACAATAATGGAATTGAGGAAGGGAAATGTAGTTCAGATTTAGGGATCCATGAAGACCTCCCTGAGGAGATGACTTTTTTTTTTTAATGTTTTATTTATTTCTAGGAGAGAGAGAGAGA